TGTACACAGCATTGTGGCTAAGATGCTGGTTAAAACACTAGTCTCCCACTAGACTGTCTTGGTTCAGTGCCTGGCTCCACTACTGCTTCCGGCTTCCTGCTAATGCAGACCCCACATGGTAGCAGGTGATGGTTCTGTAGCAGATCTTTGCAGCTCATGTGGAGAGACTTGGATTGACTCTCCAGTTCCCAGGTTTGGCCTGGCCCAGTCCTAGCATGGTGGGTATTTGGAGTGTGAAGAGTACAGTATGAGTGCTCTCTGAATGCTTGTATTTTTGTCTGTTTTTGGTGTTTCTGCCTCTTAAGTGAAACAAAATGTTTTGATGCATAAAGAGTTTGGAATCAGCTCATGCAATATTCTCCTATTAGATATTTCTCATGAACATTTTGAAGACATCAGGTACTGTATAGCATTTAACATATTATCTATATATTCACACAGATGCTCAGAGGGAGTTTGGGTGATCTAACTGGAGATTGAGTAGATCTGTGGAGTGAGGTTGAATCTTGCCTTTTTTTTTTTTGGTCCACTGGTTAGTGAATATCCCTGCTTTGGGAAGCCAAATCCCATCTTGATCAAGGGGATTGCCACCCTTGATTTCTCTACAATGAGTAAGGGAACGTAGTGCATTGCTTGTCAGCTTGATGTGGTGATGACTGCCCTGGGGTTTATGGAAATCGAATGGGACTTGATGCCTTTGTTCAGAAAACTTTCATGCCAACTGCAGAATCAACAGGAACTCTCTTGAGACGTCTAAAAGCCAAAGTCACCTGGTTCGAGGGAGGGTTTGTCTGTCTGCTGTCTCAAAGCATTTTCAAATGAATAGATTAGCAATGGGTAAAAAGTTGAACTAGAGCAAAGGCAGGGAGCACTTTCATGAGCTTGGTGGAGGTCAGAGCTCATGTTTTATACCAACTCAGCTACCACTTTACCCCAGAAAAGAAGATTTAGGTAGGAATCCATTGGCTTGTCCTAGGAATAGCAGATGTTCATGTATATTCAGGAACAGCTGTGGTCAGTGCTGCCCTCAGCCCAACATATATCTGGTATCATTTAATTCTCACAGACACAATGGAAAAGATGATATTGATCCACTTGTTGTAAGTCAATAGAACTAAGGCTTTTTGATAATTATTGACATCTCAAGTGTCATAGCTGTTAGGTTTGTGAATCTGGGAAATTTTAAGCAACTCAGCATGACTAAAGCCTTATGCTCTTTCCATTTGTTAAAGACAGGTACACTAGCTCATGTTCTCCTGGTTTATTTTGGTTGAATTGAACTGAAAACATTTCTCTTTTGAACCCTGATCCAAACCCTAGTGAAAGCAAGGGCTGGTGACCACTGGCCATCCCATTCTCCTGTGGGACCAATAGAGAAAACAGTGATGTTATCAGCAAAGACCTCATTACACTACCCAGGGAAAACAAGTAACCACCCAGGGAGATGTATGCAAGCCAAGCAAAGCTCTGGGAGAAATTCCTGGGACATCTTACAAGAGCAACCGTGAAGGGACTTTTGATCAAAAACTGGAGCCAAATGAAAACACTGTGTGTTAGCCCTGGGCTTCTGTACAGTGTAGGCATTGCTGAGTAAGGGCACAGACGCTGGCAGTGCCAGTCAAGACAGGCTAGGCTCTGCTTTGTAACAAATGAACCCTGAAATCTCAGAGGCTTACCACTACAAGCTTTCCTTTCTTGCCTACTTTCTCTGTCTAGTGATGGTTGACATTGGGTAACCAGAGTTCATGCAGTTGCTCAGTGGCCTGGCTGGCCAACAGCTCCACCAGCTTTGTCAGGACCTCCAGTGGTGCACAAGGGACGCAGATGATGATCTGTAACCATCTCCCAAGTTCATGTCACTGTGGAATCTCAGGGTTTAACCTATTTGGGAATGTAGTCTTTGCCGATAAAATTACTTAAGGATTTTGAGATGGGTTCACTGTGGATGTAGAGTGGGTTCTAACTGGTGTCCTTGTGAAGAAAAGAAGAGGGGAGTTCAGACCAGGGCACACATAGGGAAGAAGGCTGTGGGAAGATAGGATTGGAGATTGGAGCTAAACTGCCATAAGTAAGCAAAGCTGGGAGAAACCAGAAACTGGTATTGGTGAGGAGGGATTCTTCCCTAGAGTCATTGCAGGGAATATGGCCCTATGACATTTTGATTTTGGATTTCTGATTTCCAGAAAAAGAGGATATATCCCTGTTGCTTTAATCTATCATGTTTATGGCAATTGATCTTATAGACCCGGGATGTTCTGAGGATCAGGCCTGGAGTTGGCCTCTGTCCCTTTTTTCCTGTATTGAGCAGAACCGAAGTGAACTGTCAGAGAGGTTGCTAGATGCTGTCTTTCTGTATGTTCAGGAAATAGGATTTACTGGACACGTAGCATTGACTGGGCCACACCTTCCCCATGGGGATGATAGCAGGATCACGGGGCTGCAGTAGTCACCTGCTCACAATTATGGGAATGCTTTGGGAGTCCAAAGGTTCCCAGCAGACAGAGAAGCATCAGCTAGGGAGGCGGCAGAGTGTAGCCAGGTCATCCGTTGTCAGCACCAGACCCCTGAGGAACGCAAACTATGGGATCAAACACAGAAGCAGGAATTCATTCCAACGTAGTGGCAGTGAAGGGCGGGTTCTGAAGCCAAATGCAAAGCCACACGTACTAATGCTGGTACATCCTCATTTCTCGGCAGTTCCCTATTCTAACTTTCTATGTGGTGAAAACTTGCTCCGATCCCAGTAATGTCTTCCCTGATTTCTACTGAGTGACTCATCTCCTGTTGGCCTGATTGTGCTTGAGCTTGTGTGGTACAGTAGCAGTGAAATCATTTCTGGATTTGTCTGTTTACTCCACTTGACTGAATTCTGCATTTCTCATTCATCTCTTTCTTCCAATGCCTGACTCACAATAGCTATCAATGAATTTTTGTTGTGGAAGAAATGTCAGTTCTGCTGGGCACTTCTTTCAGACAGTAGCAGAAACATCCACTTATCCAGTTGGAAGGAATGGAAATGATGTGGTGTTCATTGATTAATTGGCTATTGATTTATTGTTCATCATATGAGCACTAGAGCACTAGAGATGGGAGAAAGAAATAAGGAGAAAGCTCAAAACGGGTTGGAGCATCTCCTTTGTGGACAGCAACAGTAACAACAGCAAGCATTTGTGTATTGATTTAAATTTAAAAGGCGCTTTAGAGTTAACCTCACCGTATTTGTTCTCAGTGTAATACAGTAAGAGAAGTAGGAGCATCTTTTTGAATCTTTTTTCTGATCCTGCCCATGAGCTGCTCCTATGCAAGCTAGTGAGTGCAGATGAGAATAGGAGAAGAGAACAGAGGAAAGTGGCACTATTTAACTTACATACATACACACATTTATGCCCCTAAATAACTGCACAGGGATAGGCAATGCTATTTCCATTTTGCAGGTGGAATGGCAGGGGATTGAGGACATTCAGCAGTCTGCTCCAGAACGCTGCATTACTCAGTACAAGAGAACTACATTTCTGAGGGGAAAAAATTAAAAAAAAATTTTTTTAATGTATGGTTTATTCCATTGCCAAGGCAGAGCTGAGAGACAGAGAGAGATCTTTCATCTGCTGTTTCGCTGCCCAAATGCCAACTGTCAATTCCAGGCCAAGTCGAAGCCAGCAGTCCCTGAACACACTCCAGGTCTCCCACATGTATGTCAGTGACCCAAGTGCTTGCACCATTATTTGCTACTGTCCAGGGTGTACATCAGCAGGGAGATCTGGGAGGGAAGTCCAGACAGTCTGACTTGGGGTCTGGATGTCCCCAGAGGCATCTCCAGCACTGTGCCAAACGCCTGCTCTCAGGGTGCTTTATTAAGCTCATGAAGAAAGGCATCTCAGTGAATACACACTTCCATACAAGTCTGTTGAGGTGCACACCTAGCAGAGACCGAGTTCTCTGGCCCCATTACTGTCCTCCTCCTGCTGGCAGGATCACCTGCTGGGCCTTGGGGTGCCAGAAGAGAAGGTGCAGATCACACCAGAAGCTGTGGCTTCTCGCACCATGGGGCATTTGTGTAGGAATCATAGCTACAGCCTTTTGGCACCTGCTCCCTTGTGAAGCCTTGTGAGATCCTCGCGTCCTGGCTCAGCAAGATTTAAAAGGAATCGCTGATGACCCGCTGAGGTATTTCCATTCTGTTCCTGGCAATGATTAATCTTGGAGCTTTGTGATGGCTCTTGTCACAAATAGCCTTTCTTAATCCATAATTTTCCCACTTGCCTTTAAGGCAGTATTTTGCATTTAAGGAATAAAAACAAGCAAATAATCCTGTGGTGAGGATATTGTGCACGGTCTGTGTGTGTGACATTCACCAAGGCCTAATGCTGCCTGAAGTGGATTAGAGACATCGACTTTTTCTTTGTTGTTTTTTTTTTTTTTTTTCCTAAAGAAAGCTTGGTTGGTCTTTTAAAAAAAATTACTGTTTATTTGTTTGAAAGGCAACCAGAAAGAGTGTCAGATGGAGATCTCCCATCCTCTGTTTACCTTCTGCGATGCCCACAGCAGCCAAGGGCTTGCCCAGGCTGTACCAGTATCCTGCCAGTGGATCCAGGTGTCCCGTTTGCTGGACCCAAGTACCTTGCAGGGGACACAGAACTGGAAGCTCGATCAGAAGTGGGATTGGTCCTCTGATATAGGATGAGGGTGTTCCAAGAGGCACTTTTTTTTTTTATCACAGGTTAATATTTTTTGTGAAAACAGATTTTAAAATTACATTGAGTCAAAGGCTTAATGGCTGTACTAAATAAAAAGCTGAAAAAGAAAAACTGAGACCTTACAGTCCAACAGGAAGATTCACGAGGGATATAAGCAATAATCAAATGAAAAGATGCTTATTTCACTCCAGTAAAGTAAGCTGAGAGACGTCTTACTCATTGTGCCAAAGGCCTGTCCCTCAGCTAGTCTTTAATTTCTTGCTCATCCTTGTGCCCTTGTGGATTGGGATGAACCAGTCCTGTTTTGTTTTCCTTTGGATGACTTTTCAGGGGCTCCTTCTAATTCACATAGGATCATTTAACACCCCTGAAGGCAAAAAGCAGGCCACTCCTTCTGACTCAGGGGTCCACCGAGGTCTCGCTGCTTGCTGCTCCTGGAGATGTTTCTCCCCAGGGTGGGCAGCGGCCTCCTGCCACGCTCCTTTTTACTTTCAGTCTCTGCTACCTGTGCGGTTTAAGTAGGGTCAAGGTGAAGCAAGGACGCTTCTAAGGAGAGCACTTGGGTGAAACTGCACACAGATGTCCTTTGATAACTGCCGAAAAAAAGAGGATTTGGCAGAAAGGCTGAGGGCTCTGATTTACTCAGAGCCTCTGGCCAGTGCCTGTGTAAATGCCTGGTCATTTTGCTTTCTCCCTTTGCCCCCCAGAGCTGTGGCATACCTGCTGTTGCTCTCATGCCTCTTGCCAACAGTGGCATCTGCTCAGTGTAGCCATCAAGAATTTGAATGTCAATATCTTTGCCTTGAAATGAATGGAAAAGTATTTGTCACTCAGCAGCAATCATTCTTCAAATAAAAGGTTAGCCAGACAGGGCCCTTAATCAAAGAGTCGGTCTTTTCTGTCAGCAGTGCCTTTTAAATAGCAATGATGAAGGCTGGCTGTCAGGGTAGGGCTTGATGAGCAAGATGATTGATCTGCATAAATCATTTTCTTTTAACATTGTCAGTGAAGAGTAAATTGGTGGGACATTTTGGGTATTAGCTGTGTTGAAATTAATATGCAGTGTCTTAGGTGTGTCCTCACTGACATAGTCCTTAGAACAGAAGGTAGAAATTAAAAGGAGGCTTTTAGGCATGCATTGTTCTAACAAGAAAGTTGCGCCGTCCTTACTGCTGTGGTCATCATCTTGTATGCTAAATTCGGAAGTTGAGTGTGTAGCACATTTTACAAGCTCCAAAAGGAATCCAGTTAATTTGGGAATTAGCTGGAGTCAGTAGCATTTAGCAACCAGTAAATCTGTGAAGACTCGCTGCTTAGAGGGGGAAAAAAAAATCTAAACATGATTTCTGACATTAAAAGATATTGTATCTACTACCCAGCTGTTTTTGTAGAAATAGCCTCCACCTTGGGTTAGGTTTCAGCTGAAGTCCGCATACTATCATTCCTAGAAAGTCTCCTTGACCATGACATTAAGTAATAACCTTTTGAGTCTGTTCTTTTGTCTCTACAAATGGATCCCGTGCACTGCCTCTGGTGCACCTGCTTTTGGTGTTTCACAGAGTAATGCTCCATTAAGTTCCTCTTCAGCCTTTATTTTGGTGGAGCAGAAATCCCAGTGGCCAGAACATTCTGTGATCAGTATCAAAGGTACCCTTGCATGGTCACAGTCAACAATATGTTGCGTATGCTGGCCTCTGTTGTGCTTGCTTGGCTGTGCTGTAGCCATGGGTATATCAGAAACATTTTGCAGGGGCAGCAAATCAAATTGCTGAATACCTGGAGTAGAGAAGGCAGTGGACAGAAGGCATAACCAAGGGCACTTCATTTCTCTTACCTTACACTCAGGGTTCATGTTCTGCAACCTCAGAGTGAGTCAGCAGAATGAGTGCACTGGGGGGTTGGGATTAAAGGCAAGACTGATGAAGGTGAATTGCTGAGTTCAGCTCCCAGGTCTTCTAGTTGACTGTTGTATGGCTATGAGCAGAATGGCTCCTCACCTCCTTAAGCCTTAGTTTCTTCACATCTCTAGTCGCAGTAATCATAGATCTTACTTATTTTAAAATGTGATGATCCAGTTAGTATACAAAAACCAAAACCATGTTAAAGATTATGTAGTATATATGGAGCATCTTCCAAAAGCTTGTGAAAAGTACATGGTACAAAAGCACTGTGTAGATTTTTTTTTTTTACTACACAAAAATGAGGGCCAGCACAGTAGCCTAGTGGCAAAATTCTTGCCTTGAGTGTGCCTGGGATCCCATATGGGCACCGGTCCTAATCCTGGCGGCCCTGCTTCCCATCCAGTTCCCTGCTTGTAGCCTGGGAGAGCAGTCGAGAATGGCCCTAAGCCTTGGGACCCTGCATCTGCGTGGGAGACCTGGAGGAGGTTCCTGGCTCCTGGCTTTGGATCAGCGCAGCTCTGGCTGTTGTGGCCGCTTGGGGAGTGAATCATTGGATGGAAGATCTTCTTCTCTGTCTCTCCTCCTCTCTGTATATATGCCTTTCCAAAATAAACAAACAAACAAACAAACAAATAAATAAAACAATAAAGCAAACAAATAAATGATTCTTTTAAAAAATTTCACCAAAATAAATTCATCTTTTAATTCTGTTTTCTACAGACTTGTAGAAGTACTGTTCTATGTGTTAACTGTGAGTGCTTGATTCGGTAAGAATAGTAGATTATGTTGCAATATGAGTGGTTCAGTAGTGCTAAGAGAGAAAGCATTTTGAGGCATGAGAGTGTGAGATGACTAGGATCCCAGAGTGAGAGTCTTTTGTCATTTTGGAGAATCTCTCCTTGGAGGAATTTCATGCTAGGTAAAGCTCAAACCATCCCTGCTCTAGCTGGGCAGTCGTTGCTCATGGCAACTCAGATCTGCAGTTGCTTCTTACGGGAGAGAAAACAGTTGATGTGGCCTGTGACAAAACTAACACAGAGGGACTCATCATTTGTTCTTGCTAAGTTAAAGCAAACTCTTGATTATACAACTTGAGAAATGTTAGCAGATGTCATAAAAGTCTTCTGTTTTTTTTTTTTTTTTTTTTGCCTTAGGTGCTGAATGAAGGGACCTTGTCTGCTTAGGTTTTCTGCATACCTCCTGTACTGGTGCAGTTTTTGCTGCTCCTAATTTCTGACCATAGGCCCGTGGCATGGTAACACAGAAGCCTCTGGAACATGTTATGTGTGTCATGCACTTGCATAAATTATCTGGTGTTGATTTCCCTTGGAAATTTGGATTATCTCCATTTACATTTCTTTTCTCAGATTTGTTTTCAACTCAGCTCTTGAATTATACCTGAGATTTGCAACTCCTTCCATGTCTGTCTTTTGAATTTTTTTTCTTCATTGTGAGAGAAGCCTCTGCAAAGTAATTCTTGGGAAATTTCTCTAGTGCTGACGAGTCCATGAAGTCATCAGTCTGGGGTCAGCAGAGCTGCCCGTTTTCTTGAAGAGACCAGGAGTGGAGGTTTGAGAGTCTGTCAGTGCATACCCTTTGATTCTGCTGCATTTAACACTAGACCTTGTTACTGTGCCACTTTTTGTGAGCTGATCCTGTATCTTACCCAGTACCAGGATAGCTGTATTGAAGGACTTCTAGGAAGCATTCTATGCTCCTCCGGCATTTGATACCTTTGGGTTGCATCAGTGGTAGAATTGATTTGCTGTATGCCTTCTGGATTAAGTCATGAGTAGACGAACATAGCCCAGCATGCTATCTCACTGGCTATGTAATGGAATCCAGCCATGCTGGGAGTGATTCTCTGATCAGGATTAATTTTAGCTAATGAACATCTGAAAAGAAGCATTTAAGAACTTCTCCAGTGTTTCACTGATAGTAGCCTAGCAAAATGATAGATATTGAACATGAAACATTAATGTGGAGCCAGCATTGCTTTCAGTTTTACATAGCTGTGTCCATTGTATGTTTCTCACTGTAAACATTTCTGAGCGCTGGGATCAGCCTTCCATCAACTTCCCAGAGGAGTTAGCCTTAGGTTATGGTTCTCTGATACTTTGGTCCAGATTACCCCAAACCATGGCATTGTTTGGGACTTTGCAGATGGTGAGCAGAATTGATGAGCCAATTTTTGTTGAGTGCACAGTCTGTCTAAGGCTCACCAAACATGATGAGAGTGAAGACACTGAGTTTGAGGGTGTAGTAGAACAAAGTTAACTCAACTTCACTGTGTATGAAATGCTGAGCGAGAAATCTCATGGCCTGTGGGGCAGCCTCATTACTTCTGTTTTGTTTTTGTCTCTCTGACATGGTGCTCAGAGAGACCCTGCTGTTTGAGCCAGTGTTGGGGCTTCAGTTTTCTCCTGCACTCCCTCTCTGTTGTCTGGCTTCATGAGCGTTTTCATCATGACGTCAGCCTGGCAGTACATTCTGTACTTTCCCCCATTACCTGTAGTGTTTCACCTAAGGCTTATCTCAAGAGGCTTTTGAATCTTATTTGTCCAGAAATTCTTTTGACATTAGGTGAAGTTGGTTGGATTCCAGTCTATCCCTTTCTTTTTCAGGGCATGCCCACATGATTGATTCGTGTGCCAGGGTTGTAATTTTCTAGGTCTCCTTTCTTCTCCCTGTGATGTGTAGATACTGTTGTCAGAGTTGGCAAACCAGGAAAGTTTATCAAGAGCTCAACCTCTTGACTCTTGAAAATGTTTCCTTCCTTTTCTTTTTTTTTTGATTCCCTTTTCTTTAAAAAAAAAAAACTAGACTAAAATACATTTTTATTATAAAATATCACATAATAGGTAATATTATAGCAAAAGCTGAAGATCTCTGTATTGATTATTATGTAGAAAGCCAAAATAAAATGAATATTTTAGTTTATTTAAAAAAAAGCCTGGTGGTAGCAGATTGTGGCCGTTATGGTACCTCCATGAGCTGAGCAGAAACAAGGCCTTGTCTATCTTTCTGTTCCTTTTTTGTCGGCACCGCTGTCCATATTCGTGACCTACGTTTTTAAGGTTATGGTTCAAGGGAGCCACCAGAGCTCCAGTCATGTCTTACAGATTTCAAGAAGGAGCAGAGGGAGAGAAAGGAGACTTGCTTTGTGTTGCTCTCATTCCCAAGGAGGCAGGCATTCCTAGACCTCTCGACGCCCAGCCCCAGCCTGCAGTGTGGTGAGGTTAGTTCATCCCAATCTCATGAAATCTGATGGTTCAGTTCTTGGGAGTTTGTATGACCCAGGTCAGCTCAACGTATTAGTTTGAACTTGGCTGAAATAGGAGAAATCATATCACAGTCATGAGTTTAAGAGGGAGCTATTTGTTCACCACGTATCATTATATAACTGTATCTGGGGACAGGGCAGGCTATGAAATGAGATTTTTAAAATAAGTATTTATTTATTTTGTTACAGAGAGAGAAAAGAGTCAGAGAGACCTGTTGGTTAAATTCCCCAGATGTCCATACCTGATCTCCCATGTGGGTGGCAGGAGCCCAAATACTTGGGTCAGTTTCTAGGCTGTTAGCAGGTAGCTGGATTGGAAGTGGAGCAGCTGGGACATGAACAAGCACCCATAGAGGATACTGAATTTGCTGGAAGTGGCTTTACGCACTAAGCCTCAATGCTGACTCCAGAACTGCAATGTATGGCTAGGTTCTTTGTCTTCCAGAAGAAAATCAGGATTCTATGACTAATCTAGAAGGCAGGATGGATAAGCTAAGTACTTGTTTTCACATCCTCTTTAGGGTGAATGGACTTATGCTATTTAAATTGGTAACTGTTGACTCCTCTTCAAATTAAGCCAACAGTTAACATATTTTACAAGTGTATTCCTATACATGAGTTTTTGGAGGAAAATATCTTTGAGGAGGGTTTGGAGAGATGAAAGATACGCCTGC